GGTCATCATAACTGGTGAAGTAGTACTAACATCTAGTGGGTAGAGGTCAGGGATGCTGCTAAACATCCTACAGTGATACCCCTGCCTCCACCATCACCCTGCCTTCCTAACAAAGAATTATTCAGGTGAAAATGTCAATAGTGCTGAGGTGGAGAAACTATTTATTAGAGGTAGCAGGTATAAAACTTCGTTTCTCTCCTTCATTCAGATGGACTTAAATTTTTTTGAAAATGTTGGAAATGTGACTGTGTCTTCAAAAATAATGATGATCTGCTTTCAATGACAGTTGTCTACACAGTATTTTTTCCCAAAAGTCATGCCTGATAGTAAAATTGGATATTGTAGTAATGAGATTTACAGTAATCGCTTATCTAAAGCCACAGCTTTTATGAAACCTTTAAAGAGAACAAAGTAGAACTAGAATCTTTATGTATAATCGAGAAACATTTTTGTACTTAACATATTTGATGGGTTAACTCTATTTTTTAGGCTAAAGAAGAAAAGAAGAAAATCAACTTCTTCCTCTTCAAGTGTTTCTTCTGCTGATGAATCTGATTCTTCATCATCATCCTCTTCCTCTTCTGGTCACAAAAGGCATAAGAAGCATAAGAGGAACCGTACAGAGTCTTCTCGAAGTTCCAAAAGGCATTTAGCTAAGGCCTCCTCAAGTCAGATAGATCAGAGTAGGAAAGATGAGTGCTTCCCAGTTCCAGCCAATACTTTAGCATCTTTTCTTAACCAAAAACAAGAAGTGGAAAAACTACTGGAAAAGCAGGACAGGTTACCATATCAAAAGAAACAGGTAAAAGAGAAAGATAGATGCCCTCTCTCTTCATCTTCAGTTGAAATACCGGATGATTTTGGAGGTAGGTCTGAAGATCCAAGAGATTTTTATACTCAGGCAAGTAGTAGCAAAACTGAAAAACCATATAAATCAGAAAAACATTTTTCCAGTAAAAGAGATTATTCAGATTCCTTTTACAGGAATTCAGAGGACAAAGTGAAAACTTATGGTTATAGAAAATTTGAAAAAGATACAGAGGGAAGAAAGGAGCACTATAGAAGGTGGGAGCCAGGTTCCGTGAGGCATTCCACTTCACCAGCAAGCTCAGACTACTCTTGTAAGTCAGTTGAAAAATATAAAAAATACTCTTATTCTGGATCACGTGATTTCAGTAGACATGAGCAAAGATATCCATTAAATAAAAATCAAGGAGAATATGAAATAGAGGGTAGTTATGAGGAGGACATTAAAACAGAGGTTCCAGAAGCAGATGGACTAAATAGAAAAGAGCAGTCAGAAAGTGGAATTAAAAAAAATTTACCTCAAAATTTACTCAATATATTTAATCAGATAGCTGCATTTGAGAAAGAAAAAGGAAATAAGCCAAAAAATTAATATGCCAGGGGATTCAGCACCATTACACAAAGGCTGTTAATGAAAGTTTTGGGTCTTCTAGTCTAGAAGAATCTCTGCTCCTAAAGCTATTTGTAGAGACTGCAGAAAGCAGATGCTTTTTAGCTATTCTCAAAGTATATTTGTTTCAGTTGTGGGTCTCCTCACAGCTTGATTTTTTAGGCTTTTCATGTGTATGTTTCCATATATTTCTTACTGTAATGATTTAAACTTCACCTAAAAATAATTCTCAAAGTATTGCTTCCTCTCTGTATTATAGTGTATGAGAATTCCTTGGGTCCACCTTATCCTGCTGCTTGAGAAAAAATTAAATTTGCTCATTGAACACTTGGATTGTTTTCTTCAAAAATTATTTCATTGTCTTTTCTGTTAAATTTTCTTTTCCCTCAGCTTTTGAAAGAGATACACAGTATTTGATTGTTCCTTAAGTACCATTTTAATATTGATCATTTATTTAAATATCAAACTTTTTGTATAACTTCCAAGATTATATACAGATTACCTGTCTTGCCTAATTGACCTCTAAAGCTTGATTTAATTAAAAATGATTTTTGTGCCGCTTAACAAGTACTTTAGGAATAAAGCCATGAAAGTTGAATAGGGGCTCATTTTGCTTTTCTCTCTCTTTTTAAACCTTATTGTTAGCAGTATAGCCCTAAGAAATTTCTTAACTTTAAATATTGGCAAGACTTAGGGGTGTATACCAGGCAAGATTAGATCAGAATAAAAAAAGAATCCTTTCATCAAAAACAGCAGTGGCAAGAGAAACACTATAAATCTGGTTTTCCCCTAAGGGAAAGAAAATTGGGAAACTGTCCTAGTATTGCGTATGGGAAACTGTCCTAGTATTGCGTATGTCCAGTTGGGAAGGCACTGGGCATGTTTATAATTAGCCTACGGCTGGCTTGCATTTCCTCTTTTCTTAAATACCTCTTTCCTGACACTTCCCTTGATACCTCCTTTTTTAGGGTCTGGATAAAATGACAAGGCCAAAAAAGCCTGGTTTTACTCAAATTCCAGCAACTAGAGCTGAAAAAGATTATGAAAAATCCTCCCAAATTTGAAAACAGAGATTTAGAGATAGAGATAGGAGTCGTGGTTGTTGATTTATAATGGTCTTTAGAATCTTTCCAATTTCAAATTCTAGTATAATTGACAAGAGGCCTTTAATGCTACCTCTTTAAGTCATGCTAACCAGTTATGTCCTGTTTGTGGACTTCAGACTTAAGCATTGGCAGCCTAATGGAAAACTAAAGTTTGTTTTACAGTGGAACAGAGAAACTGGTCAAAAACTATGGGTAATAGCAGTAGAAAAGTCATTCACTCATCTTTGTACAAGAAACTCCTCTTAAAAGAGTCCCTGGTTCTTTCTGTATTAATAGCTCCTGTATCATTCCTACATAGTCCTACATATAGATAGTGGTTTTTGTAAAGAGTGAACAGTATCTCAACATGGTCTTTGACCTTTAGGAATTGCTAGTACATCTTCAGTATTTTACGTACACATTTACTAAAATCTCTGAGCATCACTATCAATCAGCACTATAATTTTCTAAGGTGTCTTTGTGGCTTAATGTTACATTCATATACTAGACAACTAGAATAGTACCTAATACAGGCCTGCCCGAATTTAGGAATTCCATCTTCCCCAGTTTCTTTCCCAAAACGTAACTAAACTTCAAAGTATACAAGCCAGTTTCTAAGGATGTGTTCAGGAAACCCATCACAGCAAAAGAATATGGAGGACTGACTTACCAAGAATTGTTAGTAATTATCTTTAGCAGTTTTTTTCTTATCATTATGTCTATAGTTTGTACACACCCAGACTGTGTCTGGACTCCCACAAATAATTTTCTAACATAATAGGTGGATGTTAAGATAACTCCACATTTGGAGATAATGGGTTTGATCCCTGTGTCACCAAGTTTAGCATTATTACACATACAAGGTTGGAACTGTTTGTTTAAGAGTGTTAAATAGACTTGTATGCTGGCCCAGAACCAAAAGAACCATTTCACAAATACTGTGCTAGCCTTTGGGTGGTGATTCAGTAATAGAAGTTACTGTGCAGTTCTTATGCCAGGACCTGTACATTTTGTATGTATTTGATCATTTCAGTAAACTTGTGTAGGTAATTCTTACTGTCTCAGTATGACAAATAAGGAAAAAAGCATAGAGAAGCAACTTTGCCAAGGTCATAGAGCTAGTAAGACAATCCCTGCCTCCGTAAAACAGTGTTTAATATTGAATTGCAAGTTCCAAGTAATTTACAAAGTAATACAGGGCAGAGAGAATAAGAACTTGAGCAAACACACAAAATGACCATAAAATTAATCAGTTTTTCGATCTTATAAATCTTACGCATTTAGAACCATATTTTACAAAAATATTATTTATCTTACTCATTGGATTTGGCTATAGCATTTGCTGGCTATTTCTAAAAACAATAAGATACTTAAATAACAATCAGGAAAAACAGGTTTACTGCAACTTCTGCCTTTCAGAAGGAACTGTACATGACACTTTTAAATAACAACTGTTGTGACAAATTCTTTCGAGGGTTGAAGGAGAAATAGTTAAGTATATATTTTCTAAGTATATATAGCTAAGGATTTATTTAAAAGCCAGTTTTATAATCATACTCCACACTCTCCAAGAGTTGAAAATATTGGGCTCATGTTTTATAGTATATTAAATGAAGTAACATTCTAAATCTGGTGGTCTACCTCCACTGTAAATTTATGGGATTCCTGTTGCAAATCAAATCACACCTAGTTCTTTGTCTACTACAAGAATGTCTTGGGGAAGAAAGGTTGAAAGTACATTCTTACTCTTTATGCTTGGCTGTATCTTAACAAAATAATGTGTTTGACTTCTTTCAAGATCAGAGTTAAGTAATTCCTAGAAATTTAAGCTGCATTTTTATTAATATGCAGTGCTCTTTCCTATTGTTTTTTTGGGGGAGGGAATAAATGATATTTTTGGGTTAAAAACTTTAGAATCCTACCAAAAGAAGAAATAAGACTTCTCCCCCAAAAGCCCAAGAAACATGTTTCTCTGACTAAAGCAAACCTAATTTTAGGATTTTCTAGGGTAAATGAGAATTTTAGTATTATAAACTATTCACAGGACAGCAAATCTTCAGAAATTTCCAGAAACACTGTGTCACATTAGAACTGAAGTTGTTTCATGGCTAGCGTGAAATAACTGAAGCAAAGTGTTTTCTAATCTAACAAACATCAAAATAACAGTGAAAAACATCATTTTCTCTGCTTATAAAACATGTAGCCTTGTTAAAGAATCTGCGATTACTGCTTTCCTTTTCTGTGAAGAAAACAGTATGGCAAAGGCTAAGGAAATTAAGCATTTCTTTGTCTTATATGAACCTAAATTGCTTGACTTTTTTAACTGTTTCACATTTTCCACTAAGTAAACTTTCATCTAGTTGTTGCATATTTCTAACACGATCTCAGTGGGCCTCTCATCACTACACAGCACCTAAAAGCATAGGGTGGAATTCACGATCTTAAAAGTAAGATTTTTGCTTTTGTGTTTACAACTTATACAAAAGAGGTTGAAATGTTTATTTGCTGCCCTTTTTGTTTTTATCATTATTGGAGCTACTGGTTGCACTTGGTGGCCTAGAAATGTTGCCAGTCACTGAAGAGGAGGCAGGGAAGTTCAGCTCTAGTACTTTAATTGAAGTCTGAGAGGCAGTACTTGTGGTACTTCTCGATGACCTACAGGAAAAGAAAAACAGCACTATTTTAAATTTAATTCAAAATTTGTATTACTAAAGACCCCCTCACTAATGGCAAAAGATACCATAATCCCACAAGGAATTAGATCAAAAAATATATACTAGTAATACTACTAAATTTTGAAAGCATAACCATTAATGTCAAAAAATTAGTTCAAAAGAAAAAGTAATGAACATAGAGCTTCAAACTAGTTCAACAAATGTTTATGAAAAAAATTTTCAGCTATAATCAATTTAGAGGTGGAATCATTAAACATTAAAAAGGTTTTGTAAAAATCATTAAGCATAAAAAGGCCATGGGAATTTGGGTGCTGGCAAGAGTGACTAATAATAGGTTATGTAATCTAAGCTAAAGATAAGAAAATGAGGCCTATTGACAGGATAAAGTCGTGGGGTCATTTGAAAAACATAACTAGCTATACAATTCTGAAATGCTAAGATTTAAAAATATGGAAATACAGTGAAGATCAGGTGATTGCTTACCATGTTTATATAGAGAGAGTTTGTTCTACTTTAATACTATCTTTTAGGGATATCCCTTTTATATTCTGAAAGCTCTCTGTGGACAAGTCAAAAGTAAATGGCTACTAAACATAGGAGGTTGGGAATTTTAAACATAGGAGTTTGGGAATTTTAAAATTAGGATCATAATTAATAATTATTATTTTGTCAGCAAAGCACAAGAGTTGATTAAATATCAATCTACCTGATAGAATTCTGGGTAAATATAAACTGTAGAAATAAAGAATAATTTCCTTTCTAGCCAAGCAGCCAAAATGAAATAAAATTCTGACTACTTAAAAACTTCATAATGTGGTTTTAATCATAAAAATCATACTCCATATGTCTGTACATCTAAGTTGCCTTTTTATGGTTTAAAAAATTCTCTCCAGAGGTGCCTGGGTGGCTCAGTCAGTTAAGCAGCTGCCTTCAGCTCGGGTCATGATCCTGGAGTCCCTAGATTGAGCCCCACATCCCACATAGGGCTCCCCACTCAGCAGGGAGTCTGCTTGTCCCTCTCTCTCTGCCCCTCACCCTGCTCATGCTCCCCCCCCTTTCAAATAAATAAATAAAATCTTAAAAAAAAAAATTCTCCCCATACTCAGGGTTAACCATGCAAGATGTAACCTCCAAAATTTTACCCTGCTGTATCCTACTGAAATAGCTAGAAGTCACAAAACACTCCAGGTTCTCACAGAAACTGTGACAGCAGACAGAAACCAGAAGGAAAGAGTCTTGCTCTGCTGGCTGTTATCTGCATACATGATACTAACAGAAAGGTGGGTAAGGGTAAGAAGAGCACTGGCAGATCCAGTGGCTGTGGTGGTATTTGCATAGGATAGAGTTAACGAGATGATTTTTAAACTTAGACTTACCTTGTTGATAACAGTGAAGTCTGTGAAGGAGATCTAGAACTCTGGCGACTGCCTTTTGGACCAGCTGTAGGTAGTTCTAAACCATTCTGGAATAATATTCAATAGCGATCATTAGTACCACTGCATTTTCGAAAGAATTATTTTTAATTAGACTTCACTTTATGATAAGTGCCAATATTTATTTCATTAAATGTTTAGAAAATATTTTAGCTAGAAAGTACTATTATTACCTGTTGAAAGTATGTTTGAAGGATAATACGGATCTCAGCATTTTCTTCCATGACATCAACTAGCATTTCATCAATGATCTTGTGGAAATGTTTCACTTCACGAAGTCTAATGTCTTGTTCTTCTAGTGTTTCATCTTTTGTGTCTTTCAGAAGTCGGATTTCCTTGGTGAGTTTTGCACACTGTTGTTAGTCAATAGTAGTCAATTATTATTTAAAACTATTTCCCAGAACTTAATATTTTTTAATGGATGAAGGAGGATTTGGAACTCCAAAATATATAAATATAACAGGTTAGTTTTTAAAAAGACAGCAATACCTGTTTAGTTACTCTCTCTAATTTTGGCTTCTGCTCCTCAGTTTCTCTATTTAGTTGAGATGAATAAGCCTGCTTCTCTGATAATTTTTCTTTGACACTATTTGTTAAATGTTCTATAACTTCTAAAGTATTTTCCATGCTCTGGAGAAAATAAAGTGTTAACATACTTATTGGTTAGAATCAGTAACATACAACTTGCCATTTTTCAAGTATTCATTTAATTTTAATTCATTTACTTTCGTATATAAATACATTATATTGGTAGATAATAAGTATAATGGTCTTTGGATTAAGTTTTATATAGAATTCCACTAGAAAGTACTTTTTCGGTACTTGGGGGAAAATAAGTCAAACAATGGCTATTAAAAGTATGCAATTTTCAAAGATTCAAAATTCATACCATTGGTTCCTTCAAATATTAGGAAAAAAATTTTTAATTTTTAAATAGAGCTTGCTTACCAAGCACATTGTTTTCTCTTTCAATGATGTAGTTTAGTAACTACTTTCTACTAGACTATTTTTATCTTTCAAATTTTATTTAAGGGGGAATCTTTAAGGTAATCTTTAAGGAATTAAATGAAATAAAAGTTCATTAAATAAGTTAGATATATCATAATTAGCTGGCTATGATTCATCATCTAATTAACCAGTCATTATCTGCTGTCCATCCTATGCTTAATACTGTGATTTTAACTAATTTATTTAATAGTTTGGTCACTTATTTTTTTCTCATTTTAATTAAAATGAAACTTTTACTATCTACTTTTAAAAATTATCTTCTTTGTACACGATAACAAGACAGTAGACATAATGATAGTTAACTTTTACTAAGGGCTTATTTCTAAAGCCCGTAGAATTTACCTGGATATCTTCCTGTAGTTCCCTGATTTGTCTTTGTTTATATCTGTATTTTTCATCAATAGCTCTTTTTTGTTCTTCTAGTTGGATTTTTTGTTCATACTCATCACCTAAAATTAGAGAATTCTTTAAATTTTTAACATGTTATATAGAAAGCAAGCTTCAAGTCTTACATATATTAAACTTACAACATCTTTGTTATAGGTTAAAATCCTTATATCTCCTTGTTGAAAAACAGTATGAGCATGTAATGTAATAGCCATTCTTTTTGTCAACACACAGCAGCCAATAGGCTGCCATTTTCTTCACATTTGAAATTAATTCCCAGAGAAGGGATATGCAATACTGCTAAACTAATAATGGAAATAACAACTTAGCCCTTGTTTTAAAGGGAGGGGGGAGGTGATTTTTCTGACTCAATCAAACATGGTACATTTTTGTTTTCCATGTCTCACAATGTTCCTCTTTAAAAATAATTAACTATCCTTTAATTGCCACATTCATAAAAAAATTTTAAAAACTCCTACATACTGGATGGAGTGACTTTTTTAAAAGATTGTTTGTAATTGTTGTTGCAGTTTCTCAGCACTTGCAAGGTGTTTTCTAAAGCATAGATTTCTTTTTCAGCTTTGTTGATCTTAGCGTCCAAACTGTCACCTTCCCTTTGAAGTTCTTCTTTTTCTTGAGCGGCCTGTGAAATACAGAATAGAAGTGACAGCACAAAATTATCGTGGGAGAGAACGTCTGCTTCCAGGGCAGGAAATAGTTTACTCCCAACAATACCAATTTACCTTGGGGCCTACATGCAGCATTAAGCATTCATTTCTTGCACTTGATTTAGAGTAGAAGACTAAATCCCCAAGATCTTCAAAATCGAGTACACAGGATATAAACTGATAGAAGTGTAGCAGCTAACCAAAGCTTACATTGAAACTTTCCAACAAAAATTACCAGAAAGCTAAACAGATCTAAACTTTACTGGAAAGAGATAGGGTTAACTGGGACGTGACTTCAAACTAGATCTATTTAATAAGGAGAATGCATGTTTCTGGCCTGAAAGAGGCTTAGAACACTTAGAACATTTTAAGTCTTAGGAATATAAGAAGTGAGCAAAGTTCATGTAGAAAAGTAAATGCATATTATTTCCAACACAGTTATATTGTTATTAGAACTAGGATTTCAATATTTTTGAACAGTTAAATAATATTAAAATTGGAGTACTCACTTCAGTTGCACATACTAAAATTGGAAAAAATAAAATTAGTGTGACACCTGCACAATAATAACATGCAAATTTGTGAAGCACTCTATATTTTCAAAGGAGAACACTGCATGATTCCACTCACATGAGGTGCCTATAATAGTCAAATTCACAGACGGAAAGTAGCATGGGGTTGAGGAGAGGGAAAAATGGGGTCTCTGTTTAATGGGTAGAGTGTTTCAGTTTTGGAAGATGAAAAAGTTCTGGAGATGGAGGTTGGTATTAGTTGCACATACTTCATACCACAGAACTGTACACTTAAAAATTGATAAATGACCAATTTTATGTGTATCTTGCCACATTTAAAAAATGTTTAAAAATTAGAGAAAAGTAATTGATAAATGTGACTGGGAAAAAATGCAGTCTAAAAATTGTTGAAAACCAAAAATTCCCAGTAGTGGGCATACTCAAGTGACTTTTTTCAGCTTAAATGTCACTGGGCTAAACTCTCTAGAGTTGTATCAAAAAAGTTCCAAAGGACTTCCACAATTAAATGTTGACAGGGATAACATGCCAAAAGTGCCAAAACCCATTTTTAATCAAAATTAAATAATTTCATTTGTTAACTTATCCAATCCCAAGAATGTATATTTAATACACATCAGAATGTGGCCATTTGGACAGTTTTTTGATAATCCTTTATCTCTTAACATTTTCACTGGTATTTATTATACTTCAAAATATATTAACACATTTTTACAGTAAATAGTACATAATAAAAAGAATTAACAAAAAAATTTCTTAGATAAATTATAATCTAATTCCAGTAAGTTTAGTCTAAAATTGGCAACCTTTTCATTCAAAAACATACTGTAGTGGAAGAGACCTAGTATGAATCAAAACAGCTAGATTTTAGTTGTGGATTTCTTATGAATGAGGTGAGTAACATTAAATTAATACATCCTCCTCCAAGTTCAGTTGCTTTATTTGCCAAACAAGGGGCTGACTTTGTACATTTATATATATTTCTTGATCTAGTTCCATATATACCTTAAACTTCTAAAAACTCTTATGATTCTATCTGGTTCTAAATCAGATTATAAAATGTATACCTTTTATCCTAGATTTGAAAGCTTATATTAGAAACAAATTTTTATACCTTTCTGTCAGCATTTTAAAACATTTTCTAGTAATTTCATTTTCTAATAGTTTCACTAAATTGTGATCAGAATTGGACTGTATCCTTATGAAGACCAAATAAGACACATTGAGTCTAGCTACAAATAAAGTTTCATTTTCACAAATCTGGCACATATGAAGTATTAAGAGTAAAACATTTAAATATGCTGTATATTGGGGCGCCTGGGTGGTTCAGTTGTTAGGCGTCTGCCATTGGCTCAGGTCATGATCCCAGAGTCCTGGGATGGAACACCGCATCGGGCTCTCTGCTCAACAGGGAATCTGCTTTTCCCTCTCCCACTCCCCCGCTTGTGTTCCCTCTCTCACTGTGTCTCTGTCAGATAAATAAAATCTTAATAAATAAATAAATATATAAAGCTGTATAAAAATAAATTAACAAATAAATATGCTGTACAATGTGAAATGGAATAATGTGGCAAGCTGCAGACCCTAGAAAGGATGGAAAGTGAAGAGTGGCATTAGGAAATTGGGAAGGTAACTGATCGCCTTGGTTCATCTTACATATGCCTTATGCTGACTTTTATCCAGCAACTTTGCTGTGAACAGAAGAAACACACACTTCGTCATAAAATTTGCCTGTTTTCCTGAGAAGTGGATGCATCATCATCAATCATCATCATCACAGCAATAACAATAATGACAGCTAACATTTACTGAGGGCTCATATCATTCCAGACACGGCTTAAGGGTTTATGTGTATTTCTTCACATATTTACTTCTCACAACAAAAGTAATAATATCCTCATTTTGCAAGTGAGGAAACTAAGCCCCCAAAATGATTAAATAACTTAATCAAAGTCACCTACTTGGTCAGTGATAGAACCAAGAAATGGACAAAGGCACTCTAACACCAGAGCTTTTAGGTAACATCACAGACCTTGTTGAAAGAGAAACTTAAGTGGAATTGTAATATATATATTCTTCCCAAACACTGAACAAGCTAGAACCCACCTTTCACCCCTCAACCTTTAAAATCTGAGAGGAGGAAATTCTTGTTAGTATCAGGTCGAAGCCTGAGGTACTACAGACTGATGAGTTACAAGAACGGTTTGAGAACTGGGATTCATTTCTCATGTAAGTTAGGTGGAATTTCCTGAGGCAAAGTGGCAGGCATATCACACTCAGTGTGTGTGTTGGGACACACTCAAAGAAGGGTTAAGGAGGAAACTTGGAAGACTCAGTACAAGTCAAAGGAAAGGGAACATCTGTCTAAAAGGGCCATCCCCCTAAGGGTGTGAATTGGAAGATCTTTCTACTCCCATCAGTGTACGATAGAGGAAAAATGAATTAAAATTAAAACTTCCACTCCTTTCTGGTGTTTTAAGTTCCCAGAACTCTGTGTAAAGGAAATTACACCTGTTCAGTTTCTACATGGGAAAAATGAGTATGGCAGTACTCAGGAAGGGAAATGCATCCAGTTCTTGATCACTTCTCTATTTCCCCTTATGGGTTACTAGGTAAAGATAACCATGAAATGGCAGACAAATCTCAAACACCAGAAGACAGCACATTCACCACCTGACCTGTCTCTCTCCCATCTAATATGAAGACAAAGAACAGGTCTCTTCCTCTCTGGACATCTGCCATACCAGAGCTGCACTAGTAAATTAGAGAATAAGATTTCAAAGGTGGTACAGCTCCAGGTGATGATATGGTCTAGGATGTAGCCATATGAGTGGATGGCTATAGTGACATAAGGCCTTGAGCCTGAGATGTTATACAGGTTAACACATAAATAAACACATGAATAGTAAAGATATGAAAGTGACAGCAGGTTGCAGGGCAAAACAGATTATGAATCTTGAATAAATGGGGGGAAATGACATGACACAAATGATAGCCCTCCCCCCAAAAAAAGATCAAAGAGCAGTCCAGTCCAGACCTCTTTTTGACGTCATGGACTTGAGATATATAAAAATAATAACTTCAGGGTGCCTGGGTGGCACAGGCAGTAAAGCATCCAACTCTTGGTTTTGGCTCAGGTCCTGATCTCAGGGTTATGAGATTGAGCCCCATGTCAGGCTCTGCACTGAGCATGGAGTCTGCTTGAGATTCTCTATCCCTCCCCCTCTGCCCACCCCTCTAAAGCAAATAAATAAATCATATATATGATTTATTTATATATTTATAAATTTATATATATATATATTTATATATATATATATTTATATATAATATATATATGGCTTCAGGGGGCGCCTGAGTGGTTCAGTCAGTTAAGCCTCTGACTCTTGGTTTTGGATCAGGTCATGACCTCAGGGCTGTGAGATCAAGCCAGTGTCAGCTCTGCACTCAGTAGAGTCCGCCTGAGATTCTCTCCCTCTCCCTCTCCCTCTCCCTCTCCCTCTGCCCCTCCCCCTACTCATGCACTGTTGAGCACACCTGCACTCTCATTCAAATAAATAAATCTTTAAAAAATAATAGCTTCAGTACCTCCATTTAACAACTAATGTTTTATGGCCCTAATCAAGTGCAATAGCTACAAAACTGCTATGAAATTTAAAGTTGCAAGGCAAAACAACAACAACAACAACAGCAAGCCATTTGGTTTACAGACTACAGACAAAGATACTTCACAACTATGAAATCAATTAAGATTACCTTTATCACATAATAGGCCTGTGTTTTCTCCTCTTCTCCTTCAGGAGGCAGCATAACAACAGTAAGAATTTCATATCTGTTCTTCAGCTTATCAATTTTACTTAGCCTCTCATGAAACTCAGCACTAACATGGAAAGAAAAAGAAAACACTGAAAAACAAATAACATACTCTCTTTTAAAGGGCTATTTTCTTATATAAGATATTTTCATTAATACTGAAGTTAGACGCGCCTGGGTGACTCAGTGGGTTAAAGCCTCTGACTTTGGCTCAGGTCACGATCCCAGAAACTTGGGATCAAGCCCTGCATCGAGCCCTGCATTGGGCTCTCTGCTGGGCAGGGAGCCTGCTTCCCCTCCTCTCTCTCTGCCTGTCTCTCTGCCTACTTGTAATCTCTGTCAAATAAATAAATAAAATCTCTAAAATAAAATAACGAAGTCAAACAGGTTAAATATGTTCTCACTTTTCAATTTTCTAATTAGTGGGAAGCATCTCAGGTTTCACCCTATTTGACAGCTAAGAAGTTAGGCTGCCATAGTTTCATGGATGTTGGCAGAAGACACAAGATTCCTAGGTCAGAGAAAAAGGACTTTGCCATTCATGGTACACCAAGTAGCATGCGCCTCCTGCTTGCAGAGCTCCAAAGTCCCATGCAAGTGAGGAGGAGCTCAAGTGGATGTTATATACACTGAAGGTTTATACCAGAGCTGAGGAACCTCAAGCTTACATAGTCCAAATATCTTGTAATAGGAACTAAGCAAATACAACCAATCTTTACTCCAGCAAGAGGATACCGCCTCTAACTTCTAAGGCTATTTACTATCTAAACATCTTTTAAAAAGATAGTTTAATGCAAACTAAAACCACAATACATTATTACCTCACAGTCTTTGGGTAGCTAAGGAAAACAAAAAGAAGAGAAAAAAAGGAAAGTATTGGCAGGGTGCCTCCGTGGCTCAGTTGGTTAAGCTGCCCATTCTTGATTTCAACTCAGGTCATGATCTCAGAGTCCTGGGGGCTCTCAGTGGGGAGTCTGCTTGAGATTCTCTCCCTCCTCCTCTGCCCCTCCCACTACTAGTGTACTCTCTTGATCTCTAAAATAAAAATATAAGTAAATCTTAAAAAGAAAAGTACTGACAATAATGTGGAGAAATTTGAACCCTTGTGCACTATTGGTAGAACTATAAAACGATGCAACCACTATGGAAAACAGTATTGCAGTTCCTCAAAAAATTCCAAATAAAACTACCATATGATACAGCAATCACACTTCCAGTTACAAAGCCAAAAAAATCAGAAGTAGGTACTTGAAGAAATCTCTGCACCACAGTGTTCATAGCAGCATTATTTATAACAGCCAAGAGGTGAAGCAACCCAAATATTCATGGACAGATGAATGATACACTAAATGTGGTATATACATGCAATGGAATATTATTCAGCCTTAAAAGGAAATTGCATCACCTGCCTCATGGACAAACCTGAGGACATTATGCTAAGTGGAATAAATCAGTCACAAAAGACAAATACTGCATGATTCCATTTACATGAAGTATCTAAAGCAGTCAAATTCATACAGACAGAAAAAAAAATGGTAGTAACCAAAAGCTAGGGGAAGGAGGAAATGATTAATGTTTAGAAGGTATGGAGTTTCAGTTTCAGAAAATGAAAGAGTTCTGGAGATCTATTGCACTACAATGTGAATATACTTAGTAACATTACTGAACTGTACACTTAATAATGTTTAGTATATTTTATGTTTTGTGTTTTTTTACAAAAATTTTTAACAAGATAGTCCAGAACAGGAATGTTAGTACATTTCCTTGCAAGACACACAGAAATATGAGAAACTATAAAGAAGTGCCTCCCAAGATTTAGACTTTTTTTACTCTGCTGATTTTTTCCTTTTATTCTGGCAGATTCATATTTTATGAACTTTTAAAAAACTCATTTGCCTACTACAATCTTATGAAAGTGTACTACCCAAGTATAGTGAGAAGAAATCTTCAACCTACCAGTTTTCCTACTCCTAAAGAAAATTTGTTGGTAAAACACATTAAGAAACAGAAGTTATGGCTTTGCTTATTTTTAAGTATTACTGTTGTATCATCACAAAATATTTAGTCAACTTTTATATGATTGTAAAAGACAAGACCTGTTGGCTTCCAGCCTAAGATGGTGAACTGAGCACTACTACATCTCTTCTCCTTCCAAAAATGGAAAAGAATAAAAGGAGGAAAAAAAAAAAACTGCCACAGTTCTGGGAAAGAGAAAGACACAATTTTGCCATGAACTCATGAAAAAAATGGGAAACAAATGGGATTTGATTGATGGAGGGAGAGGGAGGATAGAGATAAAAACAGAAAATTATTAATGCAGAAATAAGAGCCACGTTTTATCAAAGAAGTCTGGAGAAAATTCAAATCCAAAAATAAGAAATAAAAAGACGAAGAGTGATCTCTTAGGCTATTATTAAGATAAGTAATGAAAGGATTGTCTACAGAAAATCTAGGCCACTCTCCTCAACCCCTCAAAGTTTATAGAAATGTTGGCAGGAATTATTTATGCTCCAATGATAAGCCGCCAAATTAGCAGAGTTCCTAGCATTGTTTGTCGGCTCTGAAGAAAAAAGTAAAAAAGAGCATGATGTAATTCCAGGCCCCCACAACAGTGGAGATTAATAAAAACCAAAGTTCCACCCATGAAGTAAATAGTCTTTATCACCCAAAATAAACTCCTTAAGGGACAAACTACTTTGGTCATTAACGGCAAAATTAGCCCAGTGCCCAAAAGCAGCCCTCCCATTTAGAGGAGAGACCAACTGGGGAAAAAGATCTATCTAACTGCAGAAGAAACCCATACCAGCTGCTATATCAATCACCATGATTATTAATTAAACATTTGTTATTAAATATAACAGAAAGCCAAGGACTGTCAGACATTTTGGAAAGTTAACAGCATGAATGAAAAGAACAAAATCAGCAAACACAGGACATACACTAAGAGAAACAAAAATAATGCATGGGATAGAAGAGAACTTCCAAAGTATTCCAGTATCTCTAAAAGATGAGAGGATACTGATTCGAAACTATCCATAAACAAGAATGGACTGCTTTAAAAAGAAATGACCAGTGAAGGAACAAGAATCCTTGCAAATAGTTCCCCCGTCTCAACTTAACAGTAGTAAGTAAGAAAGATTAATCAATGATCTAGAGAAAGAGAGAAAGGGGAACAGAGAATGGAGAGTAGGCCAAGAGAAAGAGACTAGGGAGGGAAAGAATGAGAATATCTTAAAAAGGGGAATAAAAAGAACAGAAATTTTAAAATGAGAGTAAAGTTAAGAAATCTGGAAGACAGACCAACAACCACTAAAAATAAGCAACAAATGCAGAACACAGAGAGTGGTGTGAGAAAAAAAATTAAAGAACTAATAGAAAAATATTTCCCTGACCTAAAGAAAAACTTGATGAAATAATTGAGAGTTCACCAAGGTTCAAACAATAAAAATGAAAGCCAAAAAAAAAAAAAAAAAAAAAAACCAAACCCACCCAGACACATAGAGAAATTCTGAAACCCGAAGGATAAAAAAAGTGTTCCAAAGCTTTTCAGACAGAAATAAAAAAAAAAAAAACAAGTTCCTCACAAAACAAAATGAATTAGTCTGAGTCAGACCTCTCATAAAAACACTGTCATCTAAAAGAATATGAAACAATGCTTTCAAAGTCCAACTGTAATTCAAATATGAACAGAGTAAGTATGCTTTAAACATGCAAGAACTCAAAAATTTCAGAAAACATCAATTCTGGAAAAAAAATTCAAAACATACTCCAGAGAAATGAAATGGGAATCCAAGAAAATAAGATGACAAAGGATACACAAAACAGTATTAAACCAAAAACAAGTAAAACATATAGCTAGGTGGAATTATTGCTGGCAATTGACTGTATAGTTTATGCAAGTTACAAGAAAGGAGTTCTTTAAAAATAGAAACATAATATTAAAAACAAAAAATAGGGACGCCTGGGTGGCTCAGTTGGTTGGACGACTGCCTCCGGCTCAGGTCATGATCTCGGAGTCCCGGGATCGAGTCCCACATTGGGCTCCCAGCTCCATGGGGAGTCTGCTTCTCCCTCTGACCTTCTCCTCGCTCATGCTCTCTCTCACTGTCTCTCTCTCTG